TCAAAACACTTTCATCTTGCAGCTTACAGTGACTCTGACTAGGGATCTGATTTAGATGACCGAAGATCCACTAGTGGCTTCTGCATTTTCTTTGGGAGCAGTCTTGTTTCCTGGTCTTCAAAGAAGCAACCTGTTGTCAGCCGATCAAGTACAGAAGCCGAGTACAGATGCTTAGCTGCCACCATAGCTGAGCTTGCATGGATTCAATCTCTCCTTTCTGAACTTCAAGTGAGAATTCTGCGACCACCAACTCTTTACTGTGACAATCTTTCCGCTGTTATGCTTTTAGCCAATCCTATTTTCCACTCTAGGACTAAGCACTTTGAACTCAATCTTTACTTTGTTTGTGAAAAGGTCAACAACAAAACTGTTTCTATTCATCATATTCCAGCTTCAGAACAGATAGCTGATGGATTAACTAAAGTCGTTGCATCTACAAAATTTATGGACTTTAAATTCAAGCTTCGGGTCTTAGAATTCAAGCCCACCCAGCTTATGGGGGGAGTGAAAGGATATATCATAGTCTATTGGACCATAGTCTATTGGATCAATGAAGCCCAGTCCATTTGACTGATTAGTTATTCTGTTAACTGTTAGTTATTCAGTTAGTGACTACCAGTATATAATGTAATTCAATCTATAGCAATGTAATTAGAAAAACTTATAATATTCAATACACAGTATTATTCAGACTTCTTTCTTTTGCTACTAGTTCTTGTTATTTTGCACAGGTCAAATTATAATTAATTATATAATTATATATAATAAGTACAATTTATTAAAATTTAGTCTGGATCGAGACCACACCCAGCTTATATGCGGCTCCGCCACTGACACCGCCAATTCTTAATTACTTAAGTTTTGAAAAATACACCTATGTATCAGTCTCTACAAAACTTTTACGAACGAGATTGCATGGATTTTTTTCAACGGTTACTTTCATTTTTTAGAGAGGAATGATCAATTAATTAGAACAATGTGTTTTAGACCTATATTAAGCAAAGATATAGGGTCCAACTCATTTATGACCCAAGAGACCAATAAAAAAGACTTGTAAAGTAAGAATATGTTTTATCCAACATATATATGTCATCACACAAACATACAATTATAACAGCAATAACCAATGACTAAGTGACAGACACTTGATTCTAGCTATGCCTAAGGGTCATAGCCTACAAATAGATATCTCATATACGAGATAGACTGCAGAAACAACTTGAGTCGGCAAATGAGATTAAATGATATTATACTAAGGAAACATAAACAAATCACTTAACCACTATGCAATGAAGACTCAAAACATATATATAACTTATCCATCATGATGCTCATTGATCAAATACTTACTTAAACGTCAGAGTGCCCTAAGGCACCTCCACCCATTTGTTTTAGCTAAGTAATAAAGATTTTCAAATACCAGCACAATCATCCAGCGCCAAAGACTATCTCGTTACAAATTTATCTTAGATTCTAGTTAAATTAAACTCAACTGTGTGTGGTCAAATCCAACATCTCTTGAACTAAACACAATGTAATTTAAGAAATCATTATATGAAAGTGATATTAATAATTAATTTTGGATATAAAACTTTTACTTTTTTCACACTTAATTAGATAGTTGAGAAAATAAAAAAGCGGGTAATATTGCGTAAGCGACGTCATTGTAATTATATTTCGTAGAAAATATCCAAATGTAAGAAATTTTAAAATAAGATTATATGATTTTAGAACACCAAAAGATTTAGGCTTACTTGTTGAAGACATAGTTATTGATTTTTTGAAGGTTTTCTTACTTCTTGTTTCCTCTGAAGTTTCTGCAAGGTTGGAAAGACCAGGATCTTCGTCTGCAATTCATACCACTCCCTGATAATAATTGTCAATGGGGCAAGTTGTGGTGTGACAATTTTCTAAAACACTATGAATGCAGAGAGGACCTAGCCAAACTTATTAACCCTAGTCCCCTTCCCATCGTGGGCCTATGGATCAAGCCTATACTGTTACCCATACTAATCAGTTTACATATATCCCAGCCTAAACAAAATGATCACTTAATTAAATGGATTTTATACTGCACCCCATATGGATGATGACTTAACCCGTTTTTTATAAAAACAAGAAAAACTACAATTAATTGAAACTCACAATTATAAAAAATTCTAACAATTTGTGATATATAATAATTCTCATAAAGTTTATACTTAAGTCACCTTTGGTGGGTGATTGGCATGTGTCCCCTTTCAGTCAGTCTGCTCTGAGTAAAAGGGGACATATGTCAATCACCAACCAAGTGTGCTAAGGGGTGCGGACACATGTGAATTACCAACCAAAAATGCTAAGGGGCATAGCAAATATAGTCTGACATGTGTGCAAACCAAACGTGTTATGGGTTGTAGCACATTTGACCGCATGACACTCTAGAAAATTGTTTTGAATGCAGGGAAATAATTTCTGAAAACGTGACTATCCCTTTTTTCGTTAAATTTTATCCACTTTCAGTAAAATATTTTATACTATTATTTATAGAAAATAATTTTCGTATTTTACATGAGAAAATTTTCTCATGCTATACACATAATACATGAGTAGGTCCCATCTTAATTTTTTTTGTCTTCTCATTTTTGTGTGGACCTCACTAGGGGTGTTATTGGCCGAGTCGGGCCGAACTTTGATCTTGAAAGGCTAAGGTTGTGTTTAAAAATGTCAGACTAGCCTAGCATGTAACCTGTTATAAATATAATTATTGGCTTGTGGCTTGACTTATTTACAAAAAAATAAAAGCCAGGCTCAGCCTGTTAAAAAAATTAAACAAGAAAAATTTATGTAAGCAGAATATATGATTAACAGCACTAATAATTCCACAAAGAGCAACGCCAACAAAACAGGAATCAAAAAAATGCTAAATGGCCTCTGCAAACAAATCAGAGTTAACATTATGCAAAAATATATCAATAATAGCAAAATCGTGCGTAGACCGTAGCTTTGGAGGGTTTGATCGTCCTTGAGGATCCGATCCTTGTAAATCAGACATTGTTGATCTACAGGGATGTCGCAGTTCCAAGCGATAGTATTCTTGAAGGATCCGACGAAAAGAGACCTTCAACAAGAGAGAAAGGTGAAATGTTTGGAGATGGCTTTGGCGGAGAACGAGCTTGAGTGGGCTGGGTGCGACGATGAGAGTGAAAATTAGGTTAGTATAAAAATAAAAAATAAAAAAGAATTAATAGGCCAGTCTGACAGGCTTTAAGGCGAGTTTTTGATTGGAACCTGATGTCTTTTATTAAATAAGCTTTTATACAAGTCTAAATCTGTATCTAATAATCAAAATACACATACCAAGGCAGGTCTACACGAGTCGGGTCAAAAGCTCCTGATTTGTTTAACTCTCCTAGATTTCACTCATATATTCTGTATGTAATATGAGAAAATTTTCTCAAATAAAATGAAAAAATTAATCCCAATTATTTATTAATGTGTTAGCATAAAATTTAACGGCGTACATTTTTCTGTGGAATAGTCGCAGAAGTCATGCTTTTCAAATGATTGGCAAAACTAAAGTTTAGATCCTTATACATAAAAGAGTTAATGCAATGAATCATTCTGTTTCGTTTTTGACTAGAGGTGAGTATCGTGTTAACGAGTCGAGTTGACTCGAACTTTGATCTTGAAAGATTAAGTGTGTGTTTAAATGTATTAGTTTGGCCAAGCTTGTTACTTATTATGAGTATAATTATCGGCCTAAAGCCTGACATATTTATAAAAAATAAAAACCTAATTTAGTCTATTAGACGGTTAAAAAAAAGAAGACAATAAAAATTTATCCAAACAGAATATACGATCAATAGCACTAATAATTCCACAAAGATTCATAAATTCAATGTATAACCAAACAACATAATATAGAACAAAATCATTCAAAAAATCTGTTTAACCAATAAAATGGGGTGAAATGAATTGAGAAGAGAGAAAGTGCTATTATAAATAGTATATAAAATATAAAATAAAAATTAATATACTAAACCACTAGCCTGATAGGCTTTAAGACCCCACTTTTAAATTGGAGTATGAGGTTTTTTTTAAATATATTTTTATTAAATAATACTTTTTTCTTGGAAATAGAAATAAATAATAAATTTTGTTATCATATTAATTAATTTTTTTTCAAAAGCTGGTTAGTACTCTTAGGTAGTGTTTGGTTCGGGAGAAATTTTTTTTTACTAAAAAAATGTAATTGATAGGAAAATGGTTGGAAAATGAGTTTGGTAGGAAAATGTAAAAAAAGTTGTTTGGTTGACCGAAATATTACCAAGAAAATTTATTTAAATATGCAAAATCTATATTCGGAAGAAACTTTGCACCTGTTTTTTCACTTCCCCAGTTATCTCAAAATACCACATCTCAAGTGGTATTCTGTAACGGTGAACCTCATCCAAAAATCAACACAAAAGTTATTTTCCCATCTATCCTATTTGCCTAGTATTTTTTGAAAAAACCTGAACCAAACATGATATTTTCCAATATTCACTTACACTTTCCCATCAATCCCAAAATAAACCTTCAACGAAACACTGCCTTGATTTCTTCGATACTGTACTCTGTATGTAAAAAGTGGAATTCAATTATCTAACGGTTGTTAAAGCAAATCTGCTCATCAGATATTTGGATGTCAATTGATCATACAAACAAAAAGAAATGGAAGATCGGTGCCCTTCACTGTCCCCACTGTCCACTGACCATTGCAAACGCAACACGCAACTATGTAGTACATTCGGCTTGTGCATGCTTCGGTAGACTTGAGGAACACGTCGAAAGTCTCTTTCAATATTTTGATTTAATCGAAATTCAGAGCCCAAAAATTCACTCCTTGGCCATTCAATCATTCTTTGTTTTATTGCATATAAATAAGGGTCTTTGGCTACCTTGTATCATAGCTCAAAGAGACAAAGACCCGCCAATCCTGAACACATATAGCCTTATGCCTTAAGATGAGAGAAGAGATATATTATTGATAACAAAACAAGATACATGAAGTGGAGAGCATTTTAATTAGTTTATAGTTAGAAAGACAAACAAGTAATTGTGAGAAGATGTTGGATGCAGAGGTTAACGAGACTAAGCAATCTGCTTGTGCCTCTTCTTGGTCGCTTCTAAACTTCAGAAGATGCATTTCTTCAAGTTCACCAGCAGAAAAGGAACCTACCCACAACCCCAAGAAGCAATCTGGAGGATGGAAGGCCATGCCTTATATTTTAGGTCTATTTCTATATATGTTCTAATAAGTAGATTTTTTTTTTCTCCGCAAAATCATGTCATTCTTTCACAAATAAAGATATATTACCAATACTTATTTTTTTTTTATTTCTTATGCTTCTTGGGTTTTGGCTAATATTGCAGGGAATGAAACGTTTGAGAGGTTGGCGGTGTTTGGGTTGTTTGCTAACTTTATGGTGTATATGACAAGAGAGCTTCACTTGGACCAAGTGTCTGCTGCTAACATTATCAACATATGGTTTGGGATCACAAACTTCGCCCCGCTAGTTGGGGCCTTCATTTCTGATGCTTATGTTGGTCGCTTCCGGACTATAGCTTTTGCTTCATTTGCTTCTCTTCTGGTAAGAAATTTTCATTTTTTTTATTATTAGCTTTTTGGGTTTGTCTATTCTCATGATATATGTAATAGCTGAGAGTATATTTTACGCTAAAACACAAAGTGATGAGACTCATCACTAAAAAAAAGAAAATAACAGTACAATTATCGAAGTGTTTATAGCGTAAGATAGTAATCTCCTTCTCTTACAACATGAGAGTACTATTTCCTTATATTTTTAGTATAAAACAATCACTTAGAACTAGCTGATTATTTTTATTCTAACTTACCTTTTTGTGGAATTATTATTATTTTTTTTTGTGTACATACCTTTATGTGGATTTTACAAGTCGAGTAAACTAAATAAATCAGCAACAAGCATATTATTACTTTATAGACATGTTTATTTGTGTTTTTTAAAAGAAGAAATAGTTCTTTTGATTAGAAAACATGTTTAATTTTTTTTATCATAATTAATTAAAAATTAAAAAAATAACAACACACAAAAAGTGCAGTTTTAGTATTTTTTTTTTACGTAAGATAAAAAACAATTTGATAAAAAGAAAAAATTATCATAAAAATGTTTCTATTTTAAAACTTATCTAAACATGTTCTATATTAAATATGGATCCGTCACTTCTCATGTGACTGCTGATGAGAAAAGTTGCAGCAAATTTTTAACATTAGAATACACGTGCGGATCCTTGGATATACGTGCGGATTCTATAAAAAAAAACCAGGATTCGGACGCATATCCTGTGTTGCTGCACTTTTTCTCTTCTGCAGTCACATAAGAAGTAATATGTAAATATTTATTTTACATGATAATTTATATATTAATAATTAACTTAATTTACTTATATTTTACACTAATATTTCTCTTAGAGAACAATGGTGGAGTTAGAATATTTTGTGAGAGAAGTCGGGGAAAACAAAATTTACACTAATTAAGACATAACATTATAGTGGGTCATTACATAACTAAACTTGAAAAACTCTTCAAAAAATTTTCGTACAAGAAGAACATTAAAAATATAAAAATAATGGGACAAACTTATATTACATTTCTTTTAAGTTCAAATTTATATAATTTAAAAAAAAAAAATTGATAAATTTGAGGGGCCATTGCCTCTGCATGACCCACCATTATTAGGGAAGATGGTTGCCAATTTGCTACCACATAAAAAACATCATGTGCTTGCATGCACAGGTATGCATAAAGCTCGCGACAAAACATTTATATATGAATTAAATTAGGTTGGTTGGTAAGTAGTCCAAATTAATAGGCATGTAACATGCTCCATCTTTCCCAATATCATTTTTAGAAAGGATTTAAAATTTTAATTTCGGAATCTGTCCAAATCAAATTAGTCGTAAAATGATAAATCGATTGAAATATCTAAAAAAATAAAATTAATAGGCATGTAAAGCCTAAGTTTGCATTTATATTGTAATATATAGTCTACCAGCTTCCAAGCTATTTACTTAGAGGAGGAATATTTTCACTACCAAAATTTTTTACTACCAACTTACTACCTATCTAATCATCATTAGATTAACATTTTCTCTCTTCAAAAACTTTTTAACACTCTCTCTCTCTTTGATCCAATGGTGATGTGATGGGTAGTAAGTTAGTAGTAAAAAAATTTGGTAGTTAGAATATCCTTACTCATTTACTTATTGTTATTTCCTATTTAAATACAAAAATAGCTAGCATACATTGCTTTAATAATAAAAAAATTAATTTTTCTATCAATTTCAATTCCAAATATTGTTTTCTATTAATTAAGTTATATAAATAAAATACAAGAAAGTATACAAAACACACATAATAAATCTAAAATTCAATTGAGGTGACAAGTATTAAATATCTAAATTTATTATAAGTCATGCAATAGTACGGATGTTTCAAGTAAAAGTTCAAATAATTATGATTTAGCTTTCTTTTTTTTTAATTATTTTGGTCTTTTTGCATTAAACTACGGGAATTATTATTCTTATGTTGTAGGTGATAGGTATCTTATGTCATAGACTCAACATATATGGACCCCATTGATTTAAAAGAAAAAAGAAAAAAGCAAGCACGGATATCGAAGGGTCAGTAGGAAAAATTTTCTATCTTATGCTGCATGAGATTAACTTAACCCTTAAACTACATCATTATCTCTCAACTTGGATATTTTAGATATATATTATTTTTAATTATTCATTTTGTATTGAACATTGTCAAATAGGGAATGATCGTGGTGACTTTAACATCATGGTTGCCACAGCTGCACCCTCCACCTTGTACTCCCCTGCAACTAGCATCGAATCAATGCGTTAGGGCAAGCAATTCTCAAATGGGTGTGTTGTTTTTGGGACTTTGTTTTCTAACCATAGGCTCTGCTGGGGTAAGGCCATGCAGTATACCCTTTGGTGTAGATCAATTTGATCCAACTACAGATGAAGGAAAGAAAGGGGTCAACAGCTTCTTTAATTGGTACTACACAACATTTACATTGGTATTATTGGTCGCTCAAACAGTTGTGGTTTATATCCAAGATTCTGTGAGCTGGACATTAGGTTTGGGAATACCAACTGTGTGCATGTTTTGCTCCATAATCATGTTCTTTGTTGGAACAAGGGTTTATGTGTACGTAAAGGCGGAAGGAAGCATTTTTTCTGGTATTGCCCATGTTCTTGTGGCTGCCTACAAAAAGAGAAAAGTTAAGCTTCCAAGTCAGGACAAGGCAGACGGAGTTTTCTATGATCCTCCACTGACTGGGACAGTTATCTTGTCAAAGCTTCCTTTAACCAAACAATTCAGGTTAGATATCTCTATCATTGATTATTTATGCCAAATTTATAACATTGATCAATAATTACGGTAATGAATTAATTATTTACTATGCACAAGTTTGAACATGGGAAATTAGTTTATTTATTTTTTTTATTTATTAGTAACTTTGATGGATGAGATTGATACTAACATGTAATACATAATTTCTCTTTTATTAGGTCCTTGAACAAAGCTTCTCTAATAATGGAGGGTGATCTAAAACAAGATGGGAGCAGAGTAAATCAGTGGAAACTTGCAAGCATCCAACAAGTAGAAGAGGTTAAATGCATAGCAAGAATTTTACCAGTCTGGGCAGCTGGGATCTTTAGTCTAATTTCCATGTCACAACAAGGAACATTTATTGTGTCACAAGCCATGAAAATGGACAGAAATCTGGGACCCAAATTTCAAATCCCAGCTGGTTCCCTTGGAGTCATATCATTAATTACCATAGCTTTGTGGGTTCCATTCTATGATCGATTTGTAGTACCAGCACTAAGAAAAATGACAAAGCATGAAGGGGGCATCACTCTCCTTCTAAGAATGGGAATTGGCATGGTGTTCTCTATTCTTTCTATGATTGTCTCTGGCTTGGTTGAAAAAGTGAGAAGAAATTCTGCAAATTCAAATCCAAGTCCACTAGGTATTGCTCCCATGTCAGTCTTGTGGCTAGCCCCACAGCTTATCCTTATGGGTTTCTTCGAGGCCTTCAATATGATAGCACAAATTGAGTTCTTTAATAGGCAATTTCCTGAACACATGAGAAGCATTGGTAATTCCTTGTTCTCGTGTTCTTTTGCTATGGCTAATTATATGAGCACCATTATAGTCAACACAGTTCATCAAACCACCCGAACACATAGCCATCCAGATTGGTTGACAAATGATATAAATGCTGGTAGGTTAGATTATTTTTACTACCTCATAGCAGGGATAGGGGTCCTGAACTTCATCTATTTTGTCTATGTTGCTAGAGGATACCAATACAAGGGAAATGTTGATCTCCAAGATAATCCTCATGATGTTGAGTTAGGATCATGCAAGGCCTAAAAGAAAGATAAGATTATCATGCTGTTATATATGTATGAAGACTTTACATGAATAAATTGAAGAGGAAAGATAACAATACCATACTGCTATATATGTATTAAGACTTTACATAAATAAACTGAGGAGAGCCTTTTTTATCCAGCAATGATATTTAATCTTCTGTTATTTTTACACTTTATTTTTTTGGTGCAAATATCGTTACTCTTCTCCCCTTCACTTTTTTGGAATTTGTGCTATGATGTAAATTTGTTTTTTAGAAATGTCAAGTGGGCTACTAAGAGTTTCTAATGTTAAAGAGTTTAACTAATTTATTAGAGGTCATGAGTTTAACCATACTTAATATTTTATTTGATCCTTAATAAAGTCTAACATTGATAGAATTTCAATTTATATATGTGAATATAAATGCACCAAGATTTCTCTTTTGGGCGAATTCGTCTACAATGTGTCTAAAGCAGAGGTAACTACCCCAACAAAGGGGCAAATATCCAAAGGCATAACAGTTGTTGCTGAGTATGTGGTTTTGGACATTTGGTATGACAAACTAAGCCACCTTAACGTGTTGGGAGATTTATATTTGGAGTGTAAGTGCACAATAATGTTATACGAATGAGTTAACTCCTGCTTTGTCTGTACTTTGTCTTTACCTCTTTCTGTATCGGTCCCCACAAGAATTCTAGAGCTTGATTTTATCATTTATATATGGTCCATTGGTTGTCTCTAAACTTTATAGATTAGTGTCAAAGTTTGTATCCTTTCTTTCAATTTTTGCTTTTAGAAATGATTGTCAATATCAGAGCAAGGAACATCACATTTCTTCTGTAATTCATGAAGAGCCAAACTTCGAGAACATATTAGATCTGTGAGAATTTGTGTGTAATTAAACTTTATTTACTGATTAGACTTGATATAAGTCGATGGTCCTGATGTTCACACCCATATAAAATAGCCCTTCAGAGTCCAGCTGCCTAACACTTATTTAAGGTCACACTCATGGCTAATTGTCCTGATATATGTGCATATCAACCTCAACATCCACATCTTGCTTATATAAAAATTTATTTATTTTAAAGGAATGTTATCACGTGCCATACAATGACCGTATCGTTGAAGATTCAACATTTAATTTCGGTAATATAAAATAAAATGGGAATTAGAGTGCATGCACGTGATTGTCTGGAAAAAAAAATTGTTTGTGAGAGTGTCTTCTAGTACATGTTTGAAAGGGAAAGCTCAATAATAGCTTCAAAGTTCAAGCCCATTTTTTCCTCAAGATATGTCCACTTTCTTGATGGTAATTATTTGAATTAGACAACGTAGTATGAATCATGGAATTGAAGACGACATAAATAAATCACATAGGAACAAAACATCCTTGTGGTCATTGATGGTGGTGGTGCTGACTCTGAGTATATAATGAACTTAAGTATGTACACTGTCACAGAAGCTAGCCTCGGTATTCAAAGTTGTAAAGCGTACCCACAGTTTCCATAATAGTGAAACATGCATAAAGATGGTTTGGACTTGAATTGCTTCGTTTGCAACTCGCTACCCCACCAGGATGGAAGTTGTTAAGATATTTTGGCGTAAAGTAAATGAATAGTTTTGGACCATTATGAGAATTATATGGAATAAACTTTTTGGTGAAACGAATGATAGAGCATGTAGTCTGCTCTGTCTTTTGCAATTCGCAGGTAAGTCAAGGAAAAAAGTCGACACGTGAAGGCTTGTTTTTGACTCAGGAGTGATTTTTACAAACAATATATTCAAATATAAAATGACTGATTAATAGTCGCATTGTAGCCAAAATCGAGTTACTTAATATCGAGAGTGAAAGGATATTAAATCATAATACTTAAGATATCAATTATATATATATATATATATATATATATATATATATATATATATATATATCTAATTTAAATCATTACTAAAATTTAAATAATGTTTTTATGAGAAGAACGGTTTAAATAATTATTAAATAATTTTTTAGTTTTTTAATTATGTTTTACAATTTAAATATAAAAAAAATACATAAAAATATGATTTCCAATAAAATTTTTATATGATTTTACATTTTATTTATTTAGACATGGATCAAAAATTATGTCAAAGGGAGAATAATAACAAAAAGTTTTTTTATTGAAAAAAAGTTGAGTTTGAATTCAGCCCAATGTTGGTCCAGGCCCCCACTCTTCTCCCAAAGTTTGACTCAAAGTAACAATTTTAGAAATCCCGGTGTTTGGTATCAGAAATATTTTTTTTTTTTACTTGGGTAAAAATATATTTAAGAATATGGTAAGAAAATATTTTGCACAGGAAAGTATTAAAAGGTGTTTGGTAAGTTAAAATATTGTCGAGAAAGTAGGATAAATCTTACTGATGCTATGTTTGGTTGATGGTAAAATATTGATGGGAATGTTAATTGAATTTACCAAATTATCCATTCTTTTTTGAATTTTTCAATGAAACATTCGTTTTAATACTGACACAAGAGGTAACACCATGCAATTATTGAATCTTTATACAAAAATGCGTACGAAGAACCTACTCACAATCCGAAGTCAACAGAAAAAATAAATATCATATGTAAAGAAAGATTTTTTTTATCCGGTGTTTAGTGAAAAACTCAAGTGCCTAGAATATTTTTTATCTAGGAATTTCTTACATATCTTCATACCAAACATTGTAAAAAATTATTACCAAACCCACTTATCAAAAAACCCATACCAAACACCCCTTAACAGTTATCGCACACAGCAGGCAAAGGATTGTTAAATCCTTTTTATTTATTTATTTGAAGCTTTGAGTTGATACTTCAAGCTTTGTTAAAATTGTGGCAACATTCATCTTTGTACCAACTATGTATTTTCTTCAGTTTCGTTTCTTCATCATAAAGATTGTACGTGTCCTAGAAGGAGAAACAATCATGAAGCTTTGAAATAATGTTGTTGTTAAAAAAAAAAAAAAAAAGAGTTGAGTTGACACTGGAAGCTCACTTGAGTTCACTAAGCCCGTCGATGATGATTGGAATGCCTCTGACTCAGCAAGAATAGAAAACTGAGAAACTTAGATCAATTGGGAAATAAGGGAGCACAACTTTACGGAACAAAAAGCAGGAATATATATATATATATATATATATATATATGGGTTAGGATCATTTTACACCAGTTAAGTTACAATTTTAATCTTGTCCACTGATCCCATTTATATCTAAGGGCTCAAATTTTTTAGTAATGTGAGCCATTGGATACAAGTGGATCAATGATCAAGATTGAGTGTAAGACTTCTAACTCTTATACCAGTGTAAGAATATCCTGCTCCTATATATATATCTTGTATTAAACCTCTCTAAGCACTTATCATGCCTAATGCACACTTGTTAGAGGACCTAAACCACCTTCCTTATACAATATCAACACGTCGCAAAACGTGGCACTTCTTTACGAACACGACTAAGACATAAAGGATATAAAATTACTTCAATTAGACAAATACATAAAGATGGCACTTTATTAACGGAGCAATAAAGTATTAGCACATGAGAAAGATCAAATTAGGTGATGTGCTAACTCTATAACGAATAGACCTTAAGTGCACTTATTCTTTTACTAAAATTACACACGTGAGATTTATGTGGTATTAATAATAAAAGAATGAGTATGATAAATGCAATTAGGTATATTAAAATAATATTCTATCTACAACTTGTGCTTTAAATTTTATATATTTAAAATAAGAAAAATAGTTATCTTATATCACATAAAATAGTTATTTTATATTACACACTCAAATTTTGTGTTTATTTTTTTTTATTTTAAGTTATGAGTTTCACAACTTTATTTCACATATATAAAAAATATCTTATGCCGATTAATAATTCCCTTTCAATAAAAGATTGAATATGTCCAAATTCTAATTGGACTAATCTTTTTTTTTTCTTCCTCTCTCTCAAAGCTCTCCAAAAGATACTGGCCTTTTTTTATAGGAGGTAAGATATTTATATTACTAAATTTTTTTATTATCACTTCATTATCACTCTAATTATCATTGGATTCAAAAGTTATTTTTTCTTTTCTCTCTCTTCATTCAACTTTTTCTCTAATTCAATGGTGATTAGAGTGGTAGTGAAGTGGTAGTAAAAAAAATTGTTAATACGAATATCCTACCTCTTTTTATACTACCTCTTTTTATAGTAGATATTTACGCAAAAATAAATATATAGAAAAAGTACATCATTGCCACGTGTTCTTCTTTGTGGGGGTCCCATTTCACAAATATCATTAGGTTGTTGAGCTTGAGCAAAAGCCAAACCATCTCTTGCTTTTTGTTTTCCCTCTTCACTGAGAGTGTGAGTTCGTTACTGTGATTCACACGAAGTAGCGATTCTGAGTTGAAGTTGAATATTCAAATCCAAAGCATTGCCTCCGATGGATTCATCGTCGCTACCGCCGTCTCTGCACCTCGCGATGGCGGCCTTACTCGGAGCCTCTTTCATGGCCATCTCCGCCTTCTACATCCACCGCCGCACCGTCGACCACGTCCTCCACCGCCTCATTGAAATCCGCCGCGCACCACCCGACTCCGACGACGATGAAGACGACGGCGATGACGACGATGATTTCGGACCCGACGGCGGAGAAACGGAAACAACTGATACTGATCCAAGAGGCTTGTCGAGGTCCATGGACGAGAACTTGAACTTACTACGGAGCTATAGGATTTCGTCTTCAATGCCTAATGTGGTTTCAGCAACTGATTGGCTCCAAGAGAATCCTAAGAATCGTGTGTCGTCGCTTGATAATCTCCATTTCGTTCCGTTAGGGCTTCCATCTCTTCGGATTGGTTCAAAAACTGGTGTGAATTTGAATTTTTTGCTTGAACTTTATCCAACATGTTCGTTTTTTTTTTTTTTTTTCTGGTTGAAATGGTAGCTTTTGGCTTAAATTATGTTTCTGTGTTTTTGTTTCGTGTAGGAGAGAATGCTCAGATTTCGTCTTCCTATAAGAGAATAGCGTCTTTAGGTAGAATTAAGACCCCGAAATCACCGGGACGTAATACGTTTGAAAGTGCTGAGGATTCTGATGAGGAGGGAACACAAATTTCTGGTGACAATCGCATTCCGTTCTACCCTGGGACTAGAGATTCTTCAAATAATTGCGTGAGAATGACGATATCTTATTTCTTATTCCGTTGTTGATTATTTTATTTTTCTCCTGTTGTTAGGGTACAATTTGAGAAGTATGCTTTTTTTGTTTTCAAAATTTTAGTTTACCATTATAGTGGGATTCAAATAGTGGGATATTATTTAACTTCAGGTCTGGAGTTATTTCTTTTTATTTTTCAACATAATCCTTTGATGGTTGGCAATTCATAGGCTATAAATTTGAGAGGCTGCTTTTCTGATTTGATAATTTAGAAAGTAGGTAGTATTGGTGTTGCTTGTGCATGATCATCCATCTTTTTTTCAGTATATCATTATTCCTTGTACATTTATTTCTATAACGGCCTTTTTACGGGTTCATGATGTCATTGCAGGGACTAAATTCAAACATTTGCAATTTGTCTGCTGTTCCATTCAGAGTTGAAGATGCAAACTGTGCAAAAAATCAGATGTATGGTGGGGTTTCAAAAGAAGCAAAAGCTGGTGCAGATATGAATGGTGAAGGAATGACAGATTCAACTTCAGCTAGCATTGCTGGGAATGACCTAGTGTTTATCAATAATGTTTTGTCTGCAAGAAACACAACACATGGTACTTTCTCGTTCCTATCATAATCTGTGCTATTCTTCTTATTGCTTCTATATTCTTTCGTGTTAAATAATTTTGGTATTATCTCTGTGTTATGTTAAATATTTCTATCTGCTTTTGACTTTTTTTGTTCCCAGTCTTTGTCTTCTAATTTTTAAATATATCAGGCTAGTATTTAATGCTTCTTTGTCTTCTCTAAAAAATATGTTCAGAGCCAATAAATGTAGAAGAAGAGGAAGTATGCAAGATGATTCGAGAATGCTTAGATCTGCGCAAGAAATATGTTTACAAGGAAAATCCTGTTCCATGGAAGTCTGAACCAGTGCCAACTAATTCTGATCCTTTTCACTTTGAACCAGTAGAAGCAACTGCAGTAAGTTTGTTGCTTGTCCATTATTGATCTGTCTCTGATATTTTCTGCTACATGTGGAATCTGCTTGATTTATTGACTATCGATTTTGTTCTGAATGGTTTGTTAGATATTGTTATAACCTATAACTGACTTTTTCATGTTGCAAACAGCACCACCTTAGGATGGAAGATGGAGTCATACATGTTTTTGCAAGTAAAACTGGTAAGCCCAGAGTGATACCAATATGGCACTGCAATGATTATTTCTTAGCTATTTTAATTTTGTTCTGTATGAAAGAACTGAATTTTTTGTGAAACTGTGCACAGACACTGAAGAGCTCTTCCCTGTTGCAAGCTCAACGACATTTTTTACTGATATGCATTACATTCTCAAAGTTATGTCTATTGGGAATGTTCGCTCTGCATGCTACCACAGGCTACGATTTCTTGAGGAAGTATGTTTTCACAAACTTATGTATATATGATTTCTTTGTGTTTGCCAGTGGCATTTGTTTATAACATGCATCTGATCATTATACAGAAATTCCGCCTTCATCTGTTACTAAATGCAGATAGGGAATTTCTGGCCCAGAAGAGTGCACCACACCGAGATTTTTACAATATCCGAAAAGTTGATACTCATATTCATCATTCGGCTTGCATGAATCAGAAGCATCTCCTCCGCTTCATCAAGTCAAAGTTAAGAAAAGAACCTGATGAGGTGAAAATCTACTTTGAGCTCTATTTAATATTTTTGTGGGACTGAATGTTGTAGGTTGTTTTCCCCTTCCTTTTTGCCTTTTTATTTTTCAAATTACTAGTTCTTAAAATATGTTATTACTTATTATTATTAACCAATGTTGACAGGTTGTTATATTTAGAGATGGAAAGTATATGACACTTAAGGAGGTGTTTGAGAGTTTGGATTTGAGCGGGTATGCATTGTTGTTCTACTGATTTTTTTCATCTAGCTACCTGGAAAATGAGGTCTGTATATATTTATGTGCTTGCATGGCTGCATGTTTTCTAATTAATGGCAATTCCGATGCAGATATGATATGAATGTCGATTTGTTGGACGTCCATGCAGATAAGAGCACATTCCATAGATTTGACAAATTCAACCTAAAGTATAATCCTTGTGGACAGAGCAGACTCAGAGAGATATTTTTAAAGCAGGATAATCTTATCCAGGGTTAGTTTGAAAATTATAATGATACCTATTACTTGTATAAAGTTCTGAACTCCAAATGAATATTAGAAGTATTAGTTGATGCTTTTTGACTTCATAATAGCTTAAACACACCCAAATTCACAGGAAGGTTTCTGGCTGAAGTAACAAAGCAAGTTTTGTTAGATCTTGAAGCAAGCAAATATCAGGTTACTTATGCAGTGGGATAAGTTTTTCTCCCATTGATATTTCATACCTTAATGGATTCTGTGTATAAATAAAATTTTCAGATGGCTGAGTATAGGATCTCCGTTTATGGAAGAAAGCAAAGTGAATGGGATCAGCTGGCAAGTTGGTTTGTTAACAATGCTCTTTATAGTAAGAATGCTGTATGGCTAATCCAGGTAGTGTGTTGTTCAGTCTTCTATTCTGGCAGCTTGCCTCTCTCTCTCTCTCATGCATGGTTTGAGGGTTAGCTATTGGGCCCCATCGTGGTCCATCATAGCCTCAAGAATAAAGTTGTGGATTTTGGAAGGAAAAAAAAAAGATTAGTACAGATTGTAATTTGTAACTTCGGAACAAAGAAAAAGGAAAAAAAAAAAAAAAAAAAAGGAAAAAAACAAAGGAAGTTGCTTATCAATATTTGTGACTTTTGAACTGCATTCAGCAAGTAATGTCGCATTTAGATGATACAGATTCATACAAGATAACGAACGTAAAATGCAATATATTCTACAATGTGTGCAAGAATATGCAAGAGTACGTATTGGATAATGAGAAACACCATTCATAGCAATTCTATGCTTCCTCCTTTTGATTTGATATAATTTTCCTTATATGGTAGATTTTATTTAGAATTTTGTATTATGCTTTTTCTTGAATCTTCTTTATTACTATTTTATTCATTGACTGATCTTTTTTGTGAACTTTATTGGGACAGTTACCACGGCTATACAATGTGTACAAGAATATGGGAATTGTTACCTCCTTTCAGAACATTTTGGATAATGTGTTTATTCCTCTATTTGAAGTCACAGTAGATCCAAATTCGCATCCTCAGTTACATTTGTTTTTGATGCAGGTTAGCCAATCTGTATTTTTGTGAGTGCACATACCCGTATTTATGTTGCTTGACTGCTTGTATGTATTCAATCATATGGTTACATAATATTCAATATGTAGCATTTCAACAATTCTTGGTGTACCCTTGTGATGTGACAATAGTACACGAGACAACAGCTGGGTGATACTCTGTCCATGCTGCAGCTGCCGCTATATGCATATTTGCTCACAACTGTTGTTTTGCTACTAAATAGTGTCTTCCTTAACTGTATTGGATTTGAATGAGCCTGTGTAGCTAGTTGAAAGCTATCCCCAACTTACTAAGTCTGAAGCTAATATTTTCTCTTGAGCTTCTCTTGGTTTGTGTATGATAGGCCTTTTAGCCGAGTTTATAGCAGGAAAAGGGTTGCTAAGGATGTTGGGCTGATTAGGAATGGGCCATGGTCATATGAGATGCAGTTGGAGGAAAAAGAGGAAGTAAAAGAATAGACAGATGGCATGACACTAATTGGGCTAAGATTTGGGTGTGAATGGGGTGAAGACCTGGGGCTTAATGGATAGATGTAAGGGAGACGAGACTTGGCTGTGAATGAGGCTAGAGACTTGGCTGTGAATGAGGCTAGAGACTTGTGGAAAGAGAAGGGAGGCCGGAATAAAGAGAAAGGAGAGAATGAAGGAGGAGGAAAAAATTAAGTAATTTGTGGAAAGGTTGAGAGTGGGACTAGGGTCTGCTTATCACAGTTCTCTAGGCACACTGATCATCTTCTATAGAATTTTCTAATTTTATCTTTCTGGTTGTAATTCACTAACGCTATTTTCGGAGGATTTCCTCTGTTGTAGGAGCTGGTGTCCATCTTTCATTTATATTTATTCCAAGTTCTATTAGTGTATTTCGCGAACTGCTCTTATTTAATTTAAATTATCATTGAACCAACCCATATATTTCGAATCAAGCTGATTTTCTGCTTTTGTTGCAAGAACTTTTTAAAATAGCACTATGAACCAGTGCTTTATAGTAATAATGGGTTGCATCTAATGTACATCAATTTTTTGATTCACAATTCATTATTATAAGATTTTCTTAGTAGTAGAGGATGGAGTTGAGGTCTAAGATGCATTCATGCTCAAACTTTTTTCTTATCTCAACTTCTAGTATTCTCTGGATGTGAGCTTTTATTGTTACCGATATTAGTATTCTAGTATTAGATGAAGGGTCAATTTTAATTTCTCCATGTTATGGGTTGTCAAAATCTTGAACAAAGGAAGCAGTTATGTGGTTCATTCTGGAGTTGCTTTCTTTTCTTAATATATTTGTTGTAATATGTTGAGCTTCTTCTTCATACAGGTGGTGGGATTTGATCTTGTAGATGATGAAAGTAAACCAGAAAGGCGTCCAACTAAGCACATGCCTACTCCAGCTGAGTGGACAAATGAATTCAATCCAGCATACTCTTATTACCTTTATTACTGCTATGCAAACTTGTATACGCTTAATAAGGTTTATGTTATTTCCTTCTTTACATAGCTCTAATCCTTTAACAACTAACCATTGCCTTCCCACTTTTGTTTTTCTCCAATTTTAAGGCTAATTATACCTCACTTTTTTTAGTTTTATTGGGGTTGGGTGGGTTTTTTTTTTTTTTTTGGAAAAGGGTGGGGAAGGATTTGAGGCCTTCAAGCACAACAGTAAAATAAAAAAGCAAAATGGGAAAAGAATAGATTCACAAAAGGAATTCCTGGCTATCAACAATATTAATATCTTACTGTCTGTTGGTTTCAGCTGCGTGAATCTAAAGGATTGACCACAATAAAGTTGAGGCCTCACTGTGGAGAGGTTGTTTTCTGTATACTAGCTGTTTGGTTCAATTATTTTATGTTCATTGTGATGATTATAATTAATTTACTCATGCAGGCAGGTGATAGTGATCATTTGGCTGCTGCATTCCTCCTATGCCACAACATTTCTCATGGGATTAATCTTCGGAAAACTCCTGTTTTGCAATATTTATATTACCTTGCGCAGGTTAGCCCTCACTCCTCAGGCATATTCATTTGGTCAACATAGTTGTTCATTTAAAGTTCAAACCATTCTAACATTACAGATCTTGCAGCTATTCTGAGTTTGGGTCCATTGTAATTGTCAATTGAAGTAGAAATCTTATTCTTTCCCAATACTTTGATAATTTTCTCTGTATCCTTTTAATTTGTGATAATATATATTAATATCATTCTGTTATCTCTTTAGGTTGGATTAGCTATGTCACCGCTTAGCAATAATTCACTTTTCTTGGACTATCATCGCAATCCATTGCCCATGTTTTTCCAGCGAGGTCTGAATGTGTCTCTTTCAACTGATGATCCTTTGCAAATTCATTTGACAAAAGAGCCGCTGCTAGAAGAATATAGTGTTGCAGCAAAGGTTTGCTTTGTTCCAAACCCTTAGGCTCCTTATTTATAAGTTGGTTGGATATTCTGTTTTTGTCTTTTCTAGGGATCATATATCTTACTTAAATGCGTGCACGGCAGGTATGGAAGCTCTCTGCCTGTGACTTGTGTGAGATAGCTAGAAATTCTGTGTATCAATCTGGATTTTCACATCAAGCCAAGGTAAATGAGAAGACAATGTAGGAAATTCATGCTTTTTCAGTTTTTCTCATCTGCATTTATACTGCACGTGCAAATTACTGATTGTCAATTGATGTGTTGAATCTGAAAGTAGATACCCATGCGTTTGCTTTTTTTTAATTTATTTTTTATTTTATTTTGGAGGGGGGTGTTTAAATAATTGAAATTTGAGAGGTCTGTATTTTATTTTTGTTTATAACAAAGAACGGTATCTGATCCACCCTCAGGCAGTGAAAGGTATCCATATGCTTCAAATTGTAAACTACTACACAGCCGAAGAACTTAAATCAAATTTGTTGGTGTGAGCACGCCTAAACCTGAATGTGTAATGTGAATGGTTAGATCTTTTAGGTGTAGTTGTTAGGTATTCTTTTGATATATCAGTAAAGGGATCATTCACATGTTTTGACATAGGCTTCTCTAAGATCTTCTTTACTTAGTTCTTCCCTGATATATAATTTTTTATTTTCTGCTTACGTTATTATCATAATTTTTTTTCTCTCCTTTCAGTTACACTGGCTTGGGGATAAATATTTCTTGAGAGGTCCTGAAGGAAACGATATTCATAAAACAAATGTTCCCAGTTTGAGGATCTCTTTCCGATATGAGGTGGAAAAATTGAGACAAACCCTAGAAACGTGCAGTTTGGTTTATACTTATTCTCTTATGATTACCATTCTGATATTAATTCTTTCTTGATTACGATTCTTGTTATACAGACATGGAAAGAGGAAATGCAATATATTTACGCTGGTCAAGCCACCTTTCCTGAAGATGTAGACCCATGAAGCAAAGCCTAATGAAATTCACCATTCACTCCGTGATCTATGATGCTAACACCAGTGCACTGATCAATGTTCTTTTGATAAACAGCAACTTCGGCAGTGACGAGTTATTGTAACCTTTAAGCCAGTTATGTTTTAACAAAATTGTCAACGATGTAATTTACATGCTATCTTGTCAGTCTTGTTTCATATTGGCCCCGTGTAATGATAATAATAACAGAAAAACAATGTTGTTAAGCACTGGCATTTTACGTGGCTGGAACACTTTTTGTGTTAGATAGTTATTAGAAGCAAGCAGTAGTTATCTTACAATTTGATTTTCATGAATATGAATAGGCATAATCAGGTTTTCAGTTCCTTTGTAAAATAAATATGAAAATACAGAATGTAAGTAAGATCCTCCTTAAACTTTGTTGTGAAATTTGTGTCTATTCGATTCTAGTGGAAGCCGCTATTCTGTAGCCCGCCCTTTGCTGTTATTTTCATTAAGAAAAAAAACACGTTTGCATAAAATTAAGTAGACATTTTTGGTTAGTCTTCCAAAAGTCAGAGAGGCGCTTCTTTTCAGTTTTCATTTTTTTTTTTTTACGGGGAAGGTTATACTTAGTCTTTTTTTTACTATTAAATCTTAATTATTGATTTTTGTCAATTTAATGATTGTAATTTATTGTATCATACTTATTAATTAATTATTTTTCAATAAATCATAATTCTTAGATTGACGGAAATCAACAGTGATTAGATTAGTTGTAAAGGTTGTAAAAAATTTTGGTTGTAAGAATATCCTGCTCCTATATATATATATATATATATATATATAGAGGATAGAGAGATCATTTGACTCCAGAGTAAGATTTATAAGTCTTACTCTCTATCCTAGCCGTTGATTTCCGTTCATCCAACGGTTATAGTTTAAGAGGTTATATTAATTAATTAATTATTAATTACACTATAAATGACAATCGTTGATTTTTGTCCATCAACGGCTGAGATGGAGAGTAAGACGTAAAAATCTTACTCTGGAGTCAAAAGGAACTCTCCCCATATATATATATATATATATATATATATATATATATATATATATATATATATATAAATATAGGGGAGGGATCATTTGACTCCTGAGTAAGATTTAAAAGTCTTACTCCTTATCTCAGCCCTTGATTTCCGTTCATCCAATGGTTTTCATTTAATTGAAACTTATAATTAATTAATTATTGTAACTTATTAAATGATAACCGTTGGATGAACGGAAATCAAGGGCTGAGATGAGGAGTAAGACTTTTAAATCTTACTCTGGAGTCAAATGATCCATCCCCATAAATATATATATATATGGGGAGGGATCATTTGACTCCAGAGTAAGATTTAAAAGTCTTACTCTTCATCCCAACCATTGATTTCCGTTCATCCAACGGTTATCATTTAGTAATTTAATGCATTAATTAATTATTAATTTCAAATAAATGATAACCGTTGGATGAACGGAAATCAATGGTTGGGATGAGGAGTAAGACTTTTAAATCTTACTCTGGAGTCAAATGATCCCTCCCCTATATATATATATATATATATATATATATATATATATATATATAAATATATATAATATTTTCTCCGGCTAATAAATCATAATCGTACAAAGATGGATCAATAGTGATAAAAGAGAAAGAGAAAATAGGAATCATAATCATTCAAAGATAAATCAATTAATATAAAAAAATAAATAAAATGACGTAATTTTTGGATGGACGAAGATAAATATATCTCAAGTTGCTTGAGAAATATTTTTCTCATATATATATATATATATATATATATATATATATATATATATGGTTTATCGTTTCTCAAGTTGTTTGAGATAACTTTATCTCCTTCTACTAAATTATAATCGTATAAAGATAGATCAATGGTGATAAAGGAAGAGAGAAAAGAGAAATTATAACCATTCAAAAGTGAATCAATTAATATAAAAAAAATAAACAAAACAACATAATTTTTGAATAGACAGAAATAAAACTTGAAAAGTATTTTTCTCGTATATATTATTCAACACGGTTCTTTTTTGAGCTACACAATATTTTGAGTTTACTGCTCTAAAATCATGACGTGTCCTTTTTAAATTTTGGAAAGTCAATTTAATTCAAAACATTTTTTCTGTGGGTTTTTTAAGAATTAATATTTAAAAACATAAGAATGTTTTTGAAATTTTTTGAAATAATTAAATATTTTTTCAAAACTTAGAAAAAATACTTTCTCTTTCTTATAAATCATAAACAGTAACTTTTGAAAAAATAAGTCTTTTTTTTTTAACATTCAAACTTTCATAACTGAAAATTTTTGAGGGATTAAAGCAAAATTAGTGTAGATCAAATACTTAAAATTAACTCGGCCAAAAATAATTAAAGCCTCCTTTATCCTCTTAATTAGTCCACTTTTTTTTTTTGTTTCTTAACTCCCTTGGTTGTTCTATATATTATCACCTTAGGTTAAATTTATGTAAATATTTTTAGTTTGACATGACTTATTAGTATTATGGAAGTTAAATTACAAGTTTATTTTTCCCATATTTAAAAATCAAAAAGCCGAATCTAAATCTGCTAGCCTATTTAAGTTTATGAGGCTTTTAATACTTATATTTTTGCTTAAATTATGTTTGGTGTGATAAAAAAGGGATAGAAAAAGGTGGAATATAATGGAATAGTATTAATTGTCATCCATTGAAATTTTTAAAATTGGATGAAATAAAATATAACTTAAAAATAGAATTTATTCTATCTTATTCTACCAATTTTTTTATTTTTATTCTATCCAATTTGAAGAATGGGATGAAATCAACCTATTATTATCTCCTTAACCATTTTATTAATTTTTCAAATAATAAAATTAAACTTTCCTTCATTAATTATAAAATATGTAAAGAATAATATAATTATTTTATTTTATTCTATCTCGTATTCTCGCTCCATATTATTCCACTCTACCGATTATTAAATATGCAAAGATAGCATTAGCGTGTTTGCAATGCTTCTCATTGTTACTCTAATAAATGAGAAGGTCATATAAGAGCATCTATTTCCACTAAATGGACCACAAATTTCATCCAAATAAGGTGTTGCCGACACTCATGGCCTCTTTTTGGGAAAGGCATGCCACAAAAATACAGGACCTCTGATTCTGTGGATTTGGCAACGTTAATATAATTATTGGCATACAACCACTAGGGTTAGTTTAATGATGTGGTGTGTAATGTTTGATTCCCATTGTAATAAAAATATATATAATTATTTGCGTTTATTGTTTCTTAACAATTTCAAGTAAAAAGCAGTATAGCAGTGCATATGGCTGAAAAATTTTGGTGACAGAAAGTTGATATCGGCGAATCTGTCGTTGGCGCATTTGTAGCTTTTATTCCTTGCGTTTTATAAGAGTTATGTCATAGAAAAAGTGATTGTGTAATATTATAGAGATTCGTTTTGCGTGCTGTAGTTTTTCTTCTTTTTTTTCTTCAAAAAGTGTGGGTCCCACAAAATAATTGTGTGTGTAGAAAACTTTGTTGTGTCATATTAAATGACAAATGCAAATCTCTTCCTTCTTTCTCTTTTCTATACAGTTAAGTTTTTCTGTAGTTTAGAATTAAGACATACAATTTTTTTAGTAAAAGAAGATGCCCCATTGAGCCACAATTCAATTTGTGTAACAACTCATAGATTTGATTACGGGCTTATTTTATTTGTTGTGTGAACGTACATAAGCTACACTAAAAGTATTCAAGATAAACACCGTTCTTCGCAAAAAAAAAATTAATTTATTGTTTTTAAATAAAAAATTATGAATTTATGGCTGTTTTTGAAATTATATATTTATTGCACAATATCACGCTCAATTTGGACGTCACGAGTCATGCCTAACTTAGGCGTCACTCGTATGGTGTTGACATGTGTCACAAAAAATTAACAATTTAATTGTAAAACTTCTGAAAGCCATAACTTTTGACTTAGATATCCGAATCAGGTAATTTTTTTTTATTTCACATAATTTTTTGATATCTATGTAATGACACTTCAATTGACATATTTTATCTCTCACAATCATAATTTTAATTTCCAACAATAAGACTTTATCTTAAAAGTCGTGATCTGAAATTAATGATGGTATCAAAGTGGATTAGTCCATCTATAAATAAGAATACTTAGGGAGTGTATTGGATTGAGATTTTGAAAGATTTTTTTGAGATAAAAAATCTTATAGATTTTAGAAGACTATTTAGAATTGGACGGACTTTAAAGACTTTTTTAAAAGACATTTTTTACAATTAAGATTTCATAAGATTGTATTTTAAAGGATTTTAATAGAATTTATAAAATTTGAAAGGACAATATGGATTTATAAGATTCTAAACAACCATATGAATTTTTAACAAGCATTCAAAATTACAAGAGTTAATAAAAAAAAAACAAAGAAATGCAATGATATTAATAAAAAAAGTAAAACCTAATATAATTTTCTCAATCAATAAAACATAATATAATATTTAACAAACATTTAAAATTACTTAGCAACAACTCTTCACATATCTAAAATTATACTAGTCCTCCATGCATTAGTATTTTCTCGTTTATGCTCTTGGGTTTGACCAATGAGTTAAAAATTATCTTCTTCATTTGGTATCAGAGCTATGCATATATGATTATAAGATCTAATTTTTATTTATTTATTAAAATAATTCTAAATTTACATATAGAACCTAAAGTTCATAATGAAATTTCGTTCAGAGTATTCATTAAATTGTTTTGGGGCTTTTGAAAAACAAGTTTTTAGTTAATTTCATATTTGATAATCCAATTTGATGCCATCATTAATTTCAGACCACGACTTCTAAGATAAAGTCTCATTGTTGCAAATTTAAATTGTGTTTGTGAGAAATAAAATATGTCAAATGAGGTGTCATTGCGTAGATCTCGAAAAGTTATGAGGAATCAAATTTTTTTTTACCTGATTCGGATACCCAAGCCAAAAGTTATGGCCTTCAGAAGTTTTACGATTAAATTGTTAATTTTTTATGTCACGTGTCAACACCAGATGAGTGACGTCTAAATTAGGCGTAACTGCCTCTTGGGTGATGCCGAAGTTAGGCGTGACTGGTGATGCCCAAATTGGGTGTGATATTATACAATAAATGTGTA